TGTACAGTGTGAGAAATCACCTGGCTCACCAAAAATAGAAAATTAACTCAGAACCAACTCACAGAGCGATGATGCCGTTCAGATACAATGGAGGTCTTTTAACTCTATTACAGTAGAACAATGTTGAACATCAAACGTTGTGTATGTTCCCTAAATCGTGACCATCATTATGGTGATGACAAAAAAAAAAAAAAAAGTAATGAGAGCAAATTGGGATTGTAATAATCCTAAAAATTGCATTCAATTCCTACTATATTTTCCTTTTTTCTGGGACATAGTTGCTGGATATCTAGTGTGACTGTTACTAAGCATCTTGCCAGTGTGCCTGTCGCTCTTGCAGAGAAGTGAGAGCTTCCTGTGCCAGAAAACATAATTCCAGACAAGAGCGAGACTGTTATTGCAGCTGAGAGATTGAGATCCGTAGAGCCTCTGCCTGTACCTTTTCCTCTGCATTGCTGCGAAACGGGGGGGGGAAAGTGGAAGCTGTGGCAAACGAGAGAAAGTCCTTTCGTAAGGCAGACGCTATGGAAATGTTCTTGATGAGCACTGTTTAGTTTGTAATGTAATAGTAATTAACGTGATTCAGGTACTGATATTTGCTAGTTAGTGTTTTGCGTTTTGCTGTTTCAGGTACGTTTGAACCTTCAGCAAGCACAAGCAGTGGATTTCCATGCTCTTGAGGATGCGAAAAAATGAAAAACAGTTTGTTTTGGAATTTGAGGTGCACTCCTTGCTCTTCATTTTTAAAAATTAGTAGGGACTCATGCAGAGTAGTTACAGAAATCCCAAACCCAAGATTTTAAACTCAAGTCAGCAACCTTTCTATTTATCTTTTAAATGGTACTTATTTGGATTTCATACCTACAGAAGATGATGATCTCAGTTGATTTTCCTCCGTCGGTTTTTTTAAAGAAGAGTTTCTCCTTGTCTCTGGATTCTTCACTCACAGCAGGCAGCTCGGTACCATTAGCTTTTTTTGAGGAGATTCTTGCTTCTGAAGTATTCACTTTCTGATGATGTTGTACTAATGACTGCACAGTACTTCATCTCTTCCAGCAGACAGATAGCTATTAAAAAGGCATTTTAATTCTGTAGACGAGTTCACCACTTAGTTAAAATGAGTTAAAGTAGATTTTAAGTAAGAATCTTTAATAAATCCCGTTTATGAGGGAGAATATTTAAAATCTTATTTATTTGGAGCATTGTAATTGGAGATTCCCGAGGCGTATAAGAAAATAATAATTTGAAAGTTTGCAACATTCGTTGCAGGTTGTCCTGGGAAAAATCCCGCTCTCTTGAAATTAAAAAGTAAAGGCACATTGACTTCTTTGGAAATACGAGATTTGGGGTTTTGGTTTGTTTTCATATTTCAAAATATGGAAAACCAAAATTAGTGTCCCTGAATCCCTTAAAAGGATAAATCTTAAATGATTCATCTCAACTCTTACGTTGATACTGTGATGTTATGGTGGTATAGGCAGCATCCTTATTAATTGTTAATTAAATTATATGTTCAGCAATATCAAGTACCTTAGGTTACTTATAACTAAACAAGTATAATTGGAAGTGTAGCATACATGAAGCTTCAGAAGTCTTTGGGCAAATACACCCAAATTATAGAGATTCTAAAGGCTTCATTTTAAAAGCCTTGAATTGCCAAGATTATGATGCTTGGGCTTAAGAGCAGAAGATTTTTTTCAGTTTGATCTAATTCTCATGCTGAAATGAAGTTAGTGTCTAAATACCTGATAAAATACATCTGCTGGTGAAGATAAGATTTTGGGGGAGCGATCTGGTGGAAATAATTTTAAAAATCGAAGTAGATCAAACGGATTGATTTTTTTGTTTCCATAGTTGTCAATTTCTTCAAAGATTTGTTAATGATGACTTCCTTTTACTGCGAGATTTTTCTCTTATATTTCTTATGTATCTCTGTGTCCACTAAGTTGCTTTTTTCGTTTTTGTTCTTGACCAATTTATCCCGTACTTACTGATGTTTAGTTCCACGGATCACCTCTTTTTAAAAACTAGTGTCACATTTGTCGTCTACTCTTCTGGTTTAACCGACCATTCAGTGGTTTGCCTGTTTATAATCATTTTCCTTTCAAGCTTTTTGTGCAAATATTGTCTCTTCTTAGTAAACTTTTAGTGTTTGCTTTCTTCGTTTTAATTGCTGATCTCTTTCTCTACACTCCAGCTGAGACAGACCCTTCACCACCTTCCTTACCCGCAAGCGTTCCAGCAGGCGGAAAAACCTCCTTAATTCTGCAATAAAACAAACACAGAAGTCATGTGGCTTTTCTTGCTCTAGCTTACATACTACTTTGCACCTTAATCATATATTTTTCAAATAGAGACCTGGGCTTCCTGCTCTGGATATGTTTGAAAATAGATTTATTCCTTGTTTTAATGTGCTGAGGAAGTTATTCAGGAGAACGTTTCTTGGTCTGCCTTAATGTTTTTGTATTTAACATGCAGAGTTTGGGTTTGGGTGATGTTTCTTTATTTCCCTATTTTCCTCCTTTGGCCACAATTTCAGCCTGTTTCTCAACTTCAGAGGGAATATCTTTTAACTTCTGGAGCTTTCTTTATCTTACTTATCCATGTCTGTTTTGAATTTGTTTCCTTCAATATGGTGATTTTTAAATACTTATTTTAAAACATGCTTGGATTAATTTGTTGTTGTTGTTAGCAGATTATTAACGTTAATAATATTTATTAGTGTTAATAATATTTATCCCAACAGAGAGAGCCCACGCATAGGCTGATCATTTCCTATTAATTTTACAACTTGGATTTTTTTTAGAAAAATGAAAGTGTTTTTATCTAGTATGAAAAAATTATCAGTGAAATTTGTTATTTGTAATTTTGCATATCTGTTTCTAAATAGAGCTGGCCTATGAAAAGCAGAAATAAAGCATGTTTTTGGAATATTAAAAAAATAAAGTGTTAGGTATCCATATACCGGCAGATTTCTGGACACACAGAGATAAAGAAAAGTATTCTTCCTTAACTACTTCTGCTTTTTTTTTTCCCTTTTTTAAACTAACTAACTATAATTATTAACTAGTAGTGGTAGTAATTAGACAAGTGCAGTATTAATTTAAAAGCTGAAAGTAAACTTCTGTTAATTTAATACAGGTAAAGAGAATAATTTTAAATGCTCCTTTTTTCAAGGCAGCATCCGTTTTTCAGGTTCAGAGTTTTTGCGCCTGCCGTGTTTTTCTTTCTTTCGTGGCTGGAGCTGGTTAAGCAAGTAAGCGGGCTGGAAATTGCGTCCTTAAAAACTTTTTTTTTTCCCCATTAATTTGTGAGGCTAGTTTTCTTATCTTTACTTGACCAATGACAACAGGAAACGTTTGTGGACCGTTGGGGCCTCTACCTACGGTGTTCGGAAGGAGCGGTGAGCGATACGGACAGGGGGGCCGGTGGCTGGAAGTCACCGGCTCGTTTCCAAACGCGTTAGGAGACACGGCTTTGCAAGCGGTGCCCCTTCGAGGAGCGGGCGCCTCATGTGCTTTGCAGAACTCGCCTAGAATCCCGGCCAAGTTCTCTCTGAGTTTTCCTCTCTTCGTGCCTCTCGGTGGGGAGGAGAAAGGAGAGGCGCTCTGCGGCTCTCGGGCCTCCGTCTCAGCGCCGCTGGCCGCCGTGCTGGTGCCGCTGCCCGGAGAGGGGTCGCGTGGCTTTGGAGGCCGAGTGTGTCACTTTTGAAGAGGCAGCTGAGCCGCCTTCTGAAACGCTGTGTGGTAGACGTGCGTGGTTTTGATTTCACGTGTGCGGAATGAAAACCAGAGGGCATGAATGAGACTGAAGCCTTTTCTTACAGTTAATACTTAAAACAGTGATTCCCCCCCCGCCGTGGCTGGGTTGCTTCTGATAGCATAAAAAGATAAAATACATGTTTTCAGCTCATACTCGTCTTTTAAGAAAGCCACGGGGCGCAGAGGTGCGACAGCAGGAGCCGGCCTTGGCGCGACGCACGCGGCGGTGGCGGGACC